CACTTGCTAGGCAGGTTTTCTACCACTTGAACCATACTTTCAAGTGCCTGGATTGCTTCTCAAAAAGAGCCAGTAGCTCACAGCTTGTCATCCTAACTACTCAAGAGGTTGAGATCTGGAGAATCAGTTCAAAGCCACACTAGGCAGAAAAGCCTGTGTGAGATTCTCTCTAAAGGACAGCACCCAACAGGCCCTCAGCTCTAGGCACAAAGTTGAGAAGGAAAACAAACCAAAAGATGAGCAGATGGAGAGAGAATCCTAGAAGATAGGAATGACTCCACCATGGAACCAATCTGTGGGGAGAAAGGGAGAGAGGGCAGGGCTAGTGGGCTGATCCTGACCTAGGGTGAGGAGTTCAGTTGGAATACTCGCCATGGATTAAAAGAACAAACGTAGCATCCAGTCTCTCTTCTTTCGTTTGTGAGGTACATGACACACGACAGATAACAGACTCTTTTAACTTCGTTCATTCTGTCTGTCTGTCTGTCTGTCTGTCTGTTTCTCTCCACACACACACACACACACACACACACACACACACACACACACACACACACTTCCCTCATCTCAGACTTTCTAGTCCAGGTTGGCTTTGAACCGAAATCTTCAGATCTCAACCTCTTGAGTAGTTAGGATGACAAGCTGTGAGCTACTGACTCACAGCTGCTAGGATTATAGGCATGAATCACCAGTGCCTAGCTCAGCCTGCTCAGCTCTGTCTAGAAGCTGAGGTTACCTCTTTTCTCTTAATGAGTTCACCTTCCTAGCTGGATTTTTCCACACGACTGCTTAGTGCCCTCTTTGGCCAAACATTAACTAGAACTGGGGGGAAAGAAAGCTTCGTCTATTTCTTCATTGACTGAGCAATTTCTGCAGATCAATTCTTAAATCCTTGGGACTCCTCCACGAATTAATCAGGGGCATCACATGTGCCCTTCTACGTGATGACAATATGATGGACAGAAAAATACAGAGCAAGTCCTACCTCAAGTCTGCCTTCTGGCTATTCAAACAAGTACAAGAATGACCAAATCTGGCACACATATTTAACATATTTCTCCCACCTTCCCCTCCTTCTGTGAAGTTATCTGCATACATTTGGCACAGGGCCTGTTAAAGCTCTTGGTGCAGTCATATCTGGAACATTGGAGAACACAGACAGATATAGAAATTGCTTAAACAAGGAGCTTGCCCACCCTTGTCAGAGTGAAGGCTGAAGTCTGACAGCCTAGCTTTTGGGAGCGAGCCAGACATGCCATGGGCCTGATGGCTTTGGGGGCTTCCCAGGGACCGGATGTTATGGTAGAAGGAGGGGGAGCCCATGCCTGGCAGGAGCACAGTTCATGGCTCTACTTACTTCTTGCCATTGCTCTGTCCTCCAAGCGTAGAGAGGGCACGGTGTGACCTGGCAGATGCGTTCCGACTCCGGTCTGGTGTAGGGGTTGCACTCCGTCTCTCTGGCTGTTTTGTGGGCTCCGATGTGACAATCCACCTGCCTGTGCTGCACGCCTTGGCCACAGGACACCGAGCACTAAGAAGACAGAGGACGTGAGTGGATGCGTGGGCTCAGGTCTGCGGGCTGGGGTGGAGAGGGTCAAAGGGAGGGGAATGGACTCCTAATCCAATGACTCTCACAGCATCACCAGGCTTTGCTCTCTAATTCCCAGTGAAAGGGGCGCCAAGGGAGTGTCTAAAAGCTGCAAACTCACTGTGAAGAGTGAGGAAGGGCCAGGCATTTAGAGAACTTTCTTAGGATAGCAAAACTCTTGGAACATTGCATATGATGGGAGAGATCTGGGTGAAATAGTTAACATAACTTGGAAGTAACACAGTCTCATGAAATGGAAATTCTAAAGGATTTACACCTGAGGATTACAGGTTCTTGCAAACGGGGAGATACAGCACTATACAAGAAGCAATTCTTGGCAGATTCCAAGTGTAACTCGAAGTGACAAAGACCACTAAAGATTTAGGGACTTATAAGTTGAATTTTTTTAATGAGTCTTCCTTCTCTTGTTCCTGTTCCTGCAGACAAGGGATTTCTTTGCTTTGCTTTTTTTTTTTTTTTGGTTGTTGTTGTTGCTTTGCTTTTTTAAATCATGGAATTCACTTAGATATTTGTGTCTATTTGCAACCTCAGAGGAATATATAAAGAATAAAAGCTGACAAGAAAACACCATTTCCTTGGGCTTCATGATTTCAGCCCTTGGAAAACACCATTAACCAACCTGAAATATTTTGTTGACCAAGTTGTAAGTCATCCTGTTAAATCTGCAACTAACTTCTAAGTTAATTTGTTAATGTCTTCTTCATTGCTGGGTTTCATAATCTTATATGTGGGCCAAAAATTATTGCTTTTATTAAGCTTTTAAAAGGCAGAAACTAAATACAACCTTTGATTAGAAAGAGCATGTTACTGCATTTAGCTATCAAAAGTTATTACCAAGTTCTTGTGATAACTCACTTCATTAATTTGTCTAGCTTAAAAGAAAAAAGTTTATTATACTTCAAAGTTATATTCTAAGAAGTCTCCTTAAAGAATAGACTTTTAAACTAGAAAGACAGATCAATCTAATTCACCTGCGGTTGGATTCAGCTCTTAGAAACCATCCATCAAGATGGTGATATATCTCCCTATTTTGGATTTTTAAGGAAATAGGTGGTATGTTTTAGGAGAAAGCTTGGGCAGTCTGATTATTTTAGGCTGATCTATTCATGAGAGGAAGCTCATAGTTCACATCAAAGCGAGCTGAAGAGAAGAAAATGTTTTGGACTAACAACTACCATTGTCTGGGTTTAATTGTATTAACTATTGAATGAGCTTGTGACCCACAAGAAACCAGAGTCATTTAAAGTTGCTATGTCCTGAAGGAAACGGGAAAAGTCTGCTATGTTCTCAGAGGAATGGAAGGGCCCAGAACCCCAGTGATAGCCCTGACTCTAGAGAAAAGGCATTCAGTGTTCATGGGGGCTCCATGAGCAGTATTTCTCATTGATTACACTGGAAAAGAATGGATTCCAGTGGTAGAGAGTCACTCCATAAATGACAGATATATTCTAACATCATCCTTAACAAAACAAACAGCCTCTATTTGCAATGAGTGTCTCAAATATAAAAGAGTCCATTTCTAGAACAAGATAATCCAAATAAAAACACAAGAAAGAATAGCAATACTGTAAACACATTTGAGTTTGATGTAAGGCTGATTAATAGGTAGATAGATAGATAGGTAGATGTATATATATTAAAACTCTCATAATGTCTTAATAACAAAGAAAATAGAAATAGTATATAATACTATTTAGACAAGTAAATAGAGCCTCTTTTTGCTGCTACTGTTATTGAATAAAGTATTTATAGGTCAATGAGGGTAAGCTACTAAAAGTCATAAATATCCAAATTTAAAATTCATTCCTCTCAATGTCCCATTATTTTTTCCAAAGGCAGATTAATACCCAAGAAGCTTCCATTTTGCAATATATTGTTTTGGCTTTTGGTTTTCATAATGTCACAGCTAGCTCTGAAATAACACTTGAGAGTTTCAACATGACCTAAGTGCATAGCAACAAACCCTACGTTTCTGAATAACACAGCTACAGTAATCGCTGCTCAAAACAAGGTGCACCATCTGAGTTCAATCTCTGTGTTCAACTTTCTATGGAAGGCAACTGTGTACACTGACAGCCAGCTAGCCTTGCTTGGTGAATTTGGGGGAGATTCGTGCAAAAGTCCCATGAATAACACTGCATCAGAAAGACCTCTCATGCCCAGAGATGTTGACAGTAGTGGTGATGTGTGTGTTCGTTGTTTAATTTGCCTAGTTCCAGTCCATTCTCCTTTTGGTTCCTTTGTAAAGACACTCTTAATGTTCTCTCTCTCTCTCTCAACTCTCTTCTCCTCTCCCCCCACCCATCCTAACATGGCCATCTCTTGGTGCAATGTTGAAACATGATTTTTTTTTTTGTTTTAGTTCTGAGCAACTGAGCCTGGCACTAGCTCTGGCTGCCTCCACTCTCCACAGAGCCCTGCTAGTATGCAGACCTCAGTCACTTAAAGGAGGACCTTGACAATTATTTACATAGATAAAAAGAACCTCCCAGGAACTTCTCAGGTTTGGAGACTCACAATGCATGCTTGAAAATGTAGAAAGGACATTATAGGTTTTCTTTTAGTATTACTGCTAAAAGGATGGTCCTGACGTTATTTTAAAGGGGGAAATAACTTGAAAAATAATACAAAGCACCCTTTGGAAATGGCAACAATTGCACATTTTCACTAAGCACTTACTATATGCCAGACTCTTGGTGAAGGTTTCTCAATGGGATAGTTCTTGCTGTGGGGACTGTTAAGAGAATTGCAGGTGAGTGGTATACTTGGTTTGAAACCACTAAATGCCACTTACCTTTACCCTCACCCCAAACTATCTTCAGACATTGCCAAATGTTCCATCAGGTGCTAACTTACTTCCAGTCAGGCTTTGGTGGCTCATGCCTGTAATCTTGGCTATTGAGGAAGCTGTGATGTGAAGATCACAGTTCAAAGCCAGCCTGGATAGAAAAGTCTTTGAGACTCTTAACTGCAATTAACCACCAAAAAGCCAGAAATGGAGCTGTGGGTCAAGTGGTAGAGCACCTGGCTTGAGCAAAAAGAGCCAGGTAAGGCACAGTGCCCAGGGTCTGAGTACAAGCCCCAGTACCTGTGGATCTACACAAAAAATTTTAATTACTTCCAGCTGAGGGCTTAGCTCTAGTCTAAGTATTTTCCAGAAAATATCTTTTGTATACTTCGCTATGAACATTTTAGGTAGATACTCTGCAAATAGACATAATTAATGTAGCTCAAGGAAATAATGAAAAACAAAACAAAAAGCACCCAAGGAACTGTGGCATAGCTACTGTGGGCTGAAATTTGGCTCCAAGTTTCAAAATATGGTGCTAATCTGATACATTGTTTGGTACTACATCAGCAAGAGCGTGGTTGAAAAACTTGGTTTCAGCAATTCACCATCAAGTCTCAAAGTTCAAATAAAAAAACAAACAAATGGAGAGCACAAATCACTAACACCACTGTTAATTTCTTGCCCCAACCCAAATTCATATGTGTGCCTTAAGTTCTCACAGGATACAGCTACTTGTTTGTCACATTTCTCCAGTAAACATGAGAAGACTAATTTAGCATCAGACATCTCAGCTAAGCTGTCTCATAGCACTTATGAAAAAGGTCATAAACATGAAAAATGGGAGGTAGATTCGTACTACAGTTTGCCAGTTCCCAGTGCATCACTAGCACTGAAAGATCTTTAAAATATTAATTTTTATCTCATTGAATCCAAGACACTATGTATTATAAGACAGATCATTTTATTTTGTGCCAATAAGGAAGGAAAGAAGGGCTGATAATTAAAGCACAGCGTTCCACTGTTTTAAACCTCATCCTGATCACAAAGATATTCAGCTAGAAAACAACTTCCATCTCAGGATTGATGAATGAGCTCATGAGAAGAATTCCTGACTGATGAATGAAGGAGCATTTCTTTCATTCTAATCTGACCGCTTGTTCTTTTCAGTTCTGCTTTTCATTTCAAGGGGTTTGGGAAAGAAAGCTTTCTCTAGGAAGAGGGTAAGTTTAGAAAAACGGTCCCCTGGAATGCTTCTGTATCTTGAGAATAGAAAACCTTCACAGTATCAGACTGCAGCAAGGATCTAAGGGTGATTTCTGTTTTAAAATTTCATAGGCATCCCTTTGCTCTCAATCAAAATCATCTAAACAGACCAAATATGAACTTTTGAGGGGAAAAAAATCCTTGAAGGCTTAGAGGGAGAATTTTTTTTTCCTAGAGCAGTGGGTGTCCTTCACAACTTCAAAATTTCAAAAGATGCTGAAGTGAACATTTTACTTCAAATTTCAAAATATCAAATTTGGAGGAGATACTATTAAGATTAGCATGACCACATACACTCTGATTCCAACTTTCTTTATATCATAGTATCTGCATGTTGACCCGATGAGAAATTGCACTAATTAGTCTTCCTACCTTGAAGACAAAATGACTAGAATGTAGATGCCAGCAAACAAACAAACATGGAAGGAACAGATGTAAAATGTTCAAAATATTCTTGCAAATAGGCAATCATTACTCTTGCTTAATATCACTGCCTTAGGGATACTTATGTTCACCACAGATTCAATATTAAGCCAATAACCTTTAATCATGCACCATGAACTATTGGCTGTTTATTCCTCCGGTTCACTTCCCATTTGCACAAATCAAATTTACCCATGCAGCATCTTCTCCTGCCTGTTCGTATAATTCATTTCTGCAAATCAAATCAGGACATCCCAAAGCTGCCCACAAACTCTCAACGATGTTAACTTTTGTCTTTAACAGAAGTAATGACCTCCACTCAACCATGTTTGGAATGAGTATGCTTCTTTCTGGGGAAGGATTCCGTTAATCCAATTATATATGCAACATCACCCCCCCACCCCGCCCCGTTCCCTGCCCCAAGATGTTTCATCCTCATCATTTGAATTCTGTAAGTAAGTTTAGGCTTTCCCTCAGGATCACAGAATACTGAAATAAAACTTATTCTCTGTTTGCTAATAAAGAGCAAAAAAAAAAATCTTTTCATCCTCTCTTTAGTGAATAAAGTAGTCTTTTAAGATGAGCATTGGTTGCATGTTCTGAGTTTAATGTTCAGGGAGAAATGCAAATAGTTCAGTGGAGGCCAAGGAACATAAAGAAAAGCAGCCAAGTATGGAAGTCTTTAAGAGGATGGTATAATTGTGGCATCTTAAAACAATATTAGCTGTGGGTTTCTGTATGAACTGAATATCAGCCCCCAAAATAAAAAGGCTGGAAGCTAATGGATGGCATTAGTCACTTCCAAATCATTAATAGGATGACCAGGTTGGCACACTGCCTTGAATGAAATGCCTGGAGGGCCAGAAAAGGATGAGCTTTTGTTGGGCTTAGATTTTCCAATTGTTAAATTAAAATAAAAAATAAAACCCCTTGTTTCATTATAATAAAAGCTTTGAGAGGGACAAGGACACATGCTGGGTCCCATGTTTCAAACTTCTGTGCCATGGATTATGGCTAGGGGGATGGAGGATAATGAGGTAAGCTCAGAATATTTAAGCACCACTCAGGTTTCTGGAAGAATGTTCCACTAACCATGCTGTAATGGAGGTTCCTCACCACCTCTCTATGTTCCTATGGCTGCATTCAGAGCTCCTTTGCAGCCTTAGGAATCAAGACCCAGCCTCTGCAAGAATTTATGCCAGGTTCTATGTACCTTAAGCCTGCTTTTCCACTCATTTTCAGCAGATACAGGTCCGATTCTCCATAGCACAGGAGAAAGAGAAATACTGTAAAGACTCACTGAATCAGATCAACAGTGTGAGGAGTCACATAACTGCCGAATATTAAAAAAAAAAAATCGAACCTTGTTACCTTCAGGTAAGCAGCTTCAACCAAGGTGAGAAAAATGTGCAAGTGTGGTCCTTAACACATATCCAGTATTTACAGGTAAATGAAAGCTTTTAAACCTACGCTCATATCCCTTCTGTCTAGCCCAGCAATGTTCGGAATAAGTGGAGCGTTGTGCCATCCGTGTCTTGGGAATTCACACCCTATCCCATCTAGTATACACATCACACTCCTTCCAACGAAATATGATTCTTTAGACTCCATTAGACTCAAGACCCCTGGAGCAAAGCACCTGACATTCGTAACTACACTAAATGCTCATAAGAACCACGAGAAGTAGGCTTGGGAAGGTTAAACAAGGCACCCAAGGTCATAAAGATAGAAACCAACAGAGAATGTTCCTTCTGCTCCCCCATCTCTGTTGTAAACAGGCAGAGACGTGATCTCGAATATCTTATATTCCCAGGAATAAAGGTATTTGTTTAAGAACTTCCTAGGCAAACTCAGACTCAATTCCTGTCAGGTGACCATAGCTTCAGTACAAAAATCAGTGAGTGGTTTTGCAAGTGATAAAATGATCGTGAAAAGCCATCAGCCAAGTGACGAGGGATGCCTCTGTGCTAAAACATCCATTTTCACATTGAATTCAACCTCATAGCCACCCCAATGTAGGATCAGTCAAAGCCCCAGAGTCTGAAGCCTAAGATGACACAGCTAATATCCTGGCCATCCACTCTCCAAGCTCCCCTTTGTAAAACCCAGACCATGCAGACAAACACACATGAAGAGGCTGGTGCCAGCCATGTGGCCCAATGAAAGGAAGCAGTTGGTAGAGGGGAAGCATTGCTCACCTGACTCCAAGCGCCAGCCTTCCATTTGGGGCATCGTCCTCCTCTGCACTTTCTCTGCCCATGTGGCTTAGCAAGGTGTTTACAGTAATCACTTTCTAAATGGCTTCCATCTTTTGCCAGGCAGTAAACATTTCGTTGTTTATGCCCTCGACCACAAGAGACAGAACACTGAAATATAAAGCAATGGCAAGGTTGTTGTTGTTTTCTAATCACACCGAGTTTGATTAAAAAAACCTACATTGTGAGATGTTAAGACCATGGCTGATGAGAGTCACCATTCCCCCGCCCATTTTTCAGTGCCATTTTGGATCAAGTCTCAAGGCTCAGTGCGAAAGGAAGGTGGCACTAAGAAAGAAATAATGTCTACACGCGACAGCACCAATCTCATGTGGCACGTTGGCTTACTCAAGAGTTTGGCTAAATCCTGATAATTTAGGTCCCAAATGAAGCTCATGAACCCGAAATCACCCTGCCATTGTGATGGGAAGAACTCTTGCCTACCAAACAAGAAACTATGTCTTCAACCAAATACCTTATTCTCACTGATTGGGATAAGGATATATTTCCAAAACAGAACTGCATCCAAGTTTTTAATTCAACAATTTACAGCAAACTCCCCAGTCATTTTTCCCCGAGAAAAGGTTTTCATTTTCCCAGCCCATTTGGAAGAGGTGCAAAAGGCATGCTAGAAAATGAAAGGTAAGGTATCAGGTAAGTCTGTGCCAATTTCTGGAGGAAGCCATTACCTTTCAACTTTGATCTTCAAGTTCACTGGACTGTTTTAAATGTGACCTTGTCTGACCACATCTAAGAAACTTGACTTTGATTTCAGATTAGGTTTCTCAGAAAGGTTTAGGAAATCAAAGCACCCATAGAGTCTGGACAAAAATCTGATATGACAGCTTCATGTAGAACAGGCAAGAAGCTGGCCCCAATAGGTACATAGAGACAGTCAACTCCCATTGCCTCATTAGCGATTACAGAGGCCCTTACTGCTTGGATCATAAAACCTGCTGGCTCAGGTTTTCAAGACCCATTATTTCCCAATATAATAGTCTTGCCTTTTAGAGGGAAATGAATTTAAGAATGAAGAACAAAATGCAAAAATGCAGCAAGAACAGACTGCAAGCATTATTTCCCAGTATTCCACTTTTCCCCCTTCCTTCACTAACTTTGAGATGTTGTTAGCTTAAATTAACAAAGTGCCCTTTTCTGCCTCACAGATAAATAGCTCCATGTAAAACAAGAAACTGAGTATTAATTCAACCACAATTACCAAGCATGCTACAAGTTATACCATTCATAAATGTGTCAGACATGTTTTTTTTTCCTTTCTGGTAAAGACAAACTGTTATAAAAATTTCAACAGTAGCCAGTAGAGAAATTTAAAATATGTAAGGGAACACATTTGGCTTTAACTTTAGGACATGGAAACATATGTCTGAGCTCTCATTTTATGAGGATTATGATTTGGAGTTTTAATTCTAGAAGTCTTAACAGTGTATGCCATGGAAGGAAGGAGCCTAATTTGAATTTCAACACCAAAACAAAAGTATCCATCGTTCAACCTACAGTGTTCTGCTGTATGAAAAGCAGAAAGGCTTTGAGATATATTTTGGAATTTAGGATGAAGCTCCTAGAAGCATTCCTACAAATCTTCTAAGTGTGGCCTAATGATATGCCCAAAGATAATTCGTTATTAGTGTCCAGTTTCAATATTTAAAAAATGTTTCTTCAATAAGAAAATATTTTAAGGGCACCGTTGGAATGATGGATGAGCTCATTTGTTCATTTAATAACTATGAGTAGCTATCATGTTCTAGGAACTTTGCAAAGTACTGGAAATAGAGTGATAATGAAACTTCCCTAGCTCCTGCCTTCATCGAGCTAACAGAGCAGCCATGAAAACTGATATTAATTAAGTGATGACATAGATAAATAGTGTTTTGCGGTGACTACTATGACACAAGCAGGCTACCGTGTTTGGGAGAGGCTCTCAGAGCCTTTGAGGCCAGACCAGTCAGCATAATGAGTGTGGATTTTATTCTGTACCCAATTGGAAATCACTAGTAGTTTTAATTCAGAGGAAGATGTGGGCTGGTTTTTGTTCTGAAATTTCTACTTTGAACTGGGCAACAGTGGCTCATACCTGTAATCCTGGCTACTCAGGAGTTGAGTTCTGAGGATTGTGGTTCAAAGACAGCCCAGGCAGGAAAGACTGTGAGACCCTTATCTATAATTAACTACCAAAAAGCCAGAAGTGGAGTTGTGGCTCAAGTGGTACAGCATTAGCCCTTGAGCACAAACAACAACAACAACAATGACAACGATAACAACAACAACAACAACAAAACTTAGGGACAGTGCCCAGGTCCTGAATTCAAACTCCAGGATTGGTACTAAAAAGAGAAGTCTAGTTTGACCACTGAGTGAAGATTGAATGTGAATATCATGTGAATGGAAATAGGAAAAGGCACATGGAAGGTAGATAGTAATTGGTACAGGAAAGAGGTAATGATAGTTTGGATTAGGACACAGAGTTTTGGGGTAGGGAAAACTGGTGAATTAAAGGTACATATTTTTGAAGTAGAAATGATATACCTGGTGGATCAGGCATGAGATGAAAGGGAGAGGATGACTTTTAGCTTTGGGGAACTGCAGAGTGGTTAGTAACATTTGCTACCATATTCAAAGATGGGGAAATACTGGAGAAACAGCATTAGAAGTCCAAGGTCTATTTATGGAATCTCTTTATTGTTATTGGTTGGACATAAAGAACAAAAATTTGGGATGACATTTGATTGTCTTGATTGTGAAGAAAACCAGGTACCTTCAAGCCATCAAAGGTTAAAAGTGAAAACAGATGCTAATGTGTTCCTAGGGAGAGCAATTTCAATATACAAACAGTCCACACAAGCTGACCCTATGTGAAAATGGAAGAGTGAGTGGATAGAGATACTGACTCAGTAATCTGCAGTGGTTAAGTAAAAGCAGGGTGCTCTCATCCTTATATACCAGACAGTGCCCTATGTCTTTCCATACATTATCTCCTTTAACTTGCCAATAATCCACCAGAGCTCAAAATAGCTATAGGTGCTGACTGGGGAAAAGTGGTGCTTATAAAATGGTGTCATCACGGTGGTTTAAATACAGCTTCCACGAGCTGCAGTTCAGTGGATGCCTCTCTGCTGAGAACAATTACAGCTTTACGAAAACATAATTAACCAAAAAAAAAATCTCCCTACGAGAAACTCATCTGTGGTATGCCATGGATGCTCCCAAGATCCATTGCTAAGGAAATGGCAGATGAAGCTACTTCTAAACAGGATGC